TGTGTGGATCTTTTTTTAAAATTAAATCCTTATGTAGTTCTATTTTCAGCAAAATATATATAATAAAACGTTAAGCATTAAGGGTTAGTATTTATTTCTTTGATATCGCTTGTTTATTAATCTGTGCAATAAGATAGTCTGAATATGCTCAATTTAGGCTTTACGGCGAATTTTGAGTTTTTACCAAAAATATAAAATTCATAATTTGATTTCTTTTGTCATTGGTTTGAACTCGAGATTATTATTTAAAAAGAGTTTCATTGAATCTTGCTCACTAATATTGCAACTGGTACAATACATCAACGCTTATAAGCGTCATTTACTTACAATATTTTATGACAAGAAGTATGCAGTTTCATTTAATTTATGTGTGATAATTTCGAAACCATGTGAATAACTGTTTATTTTGTTTGTTATCTATTTGCATACAAATACATAAGTTTTCTCCTTCGAAAATCATGGTTTAATTTATACTAAATACCGGCAATTTATATTATTAATTACCGTATATACTCGCGTATTTCCCATCCCGCATATTTCTTCTTCCCCTCCAGGTTTCAGCTCAAGATTATGAAAATGTTTTAATTATTTACATATTTTTCCCCTTCCTCAAGGTGTTTAGAAAGCAAGCTCCCCTAAATTTAAAAATAGATTCACCCACATAATAATTTTCATCTTACTAATTAATTTGTTGGAGAATTTAGGGTGCATGAAATTGATAAAGCAATTATAGTAAAGACCTTCAAGAAAACAGGGATATGTAAGGCTCTTGAAAATCATTCTACGACGGAAGACAGAATGAAAGGTGATGAAGACGATGCTGAGACTTGCTAGCTTTAGCAGATGATACTAAGTTTCAGCAGCACTGAATGGATTGTGGACTACAGTAAGGACCTAAGGAATCCTACAGTAAGGATCTAAGGACCTAATGAATTGAGGACCTAAGGAGCGTGAGTGGACTACAGTAAGAGAGGCGAGAGTCAAGATACAGGAAAGTAGAAGTGAAGAAATATTATTAGATACCATAAGTAAAGATAGAGTATCTTATTAGGTAACGTAATATTAATATCAGTGTGTATTTTTACTGTAATCTAGGTTTCCTTTAAATAGATAATATCGTGATAATTAATAATTTGTAAATACTTAGTCAATTTTGCTTCAGATGAATTAAAAAATGAGAAAGTTAAGAAAAAATGACTAAATAAATTAAGGGTTTGTGGTTTCTAACTAGGATTCTGGTATTGCTATAATTTCAAGAGCCTTTTTTTTATGTAAGAGAAGCGCTTGTTATGGCCAAAGAATACATGACAGAATTTCTGAAGAGTTATGCTATCCACAGAAAAAGTATTTTCTTTGTTTAACTTATATTTATTTTGCAGTAGGGTGAGAACAACGTCTCTTTTTATAAAAGCAAAAACGGCTAAATTGAAAGTATTTTTTCCTAGCATCATGGCCGAATAAGACAAATGTGAAGTGAGCAAATTTTTATAACATAAAACGAAATAGCATCTGCTTGTCTTGTAAGAAGAGGAGCTATGATGATGCTTTCCTTTTTTTTGCTTCAGTTATTGCAAACAAACTTATACGTTTTAATGTCACGAGGTATATATGGATTTTATGTACTTAGTGTGTGTGTATTACAGACTAAACAAAACACGGCAATAAATTAATGGGTTTTGTGCAGTTCTGAGGTCTGAGGAGTTTATGATATGACCTGTAATTAAAGTTACAGAGTAATGACGCTTAATGATGTCATAGCGATACTCACCGTGCCAGAAAAATTACTATTATTTCGATATTCAGTAAAGTCGTTTGCTATAGGGTATTTCAGAGAGTTAATTTTTAATTATTTGCAGTGTAACTTTTTAATTAGTTGCAGTTGCTACTGTGGTGTGTAAAGCCAGATAGAGCTTTAAAAGTGAATGAAATGAAGACATTTCCTTCAGATGTTACGCATCACTGTAACCACAGACAACAATACCTGTCTTTACTCGAAAATTTCCTTTATCGTGAGTATGATGTTATAAATGTTTGAAAAAGTGTGTAATATAGGCTTAGCAATTCTGTAACTGTCGTGTAAAGACATGCACGACTATGAAATATTACAAAGCTAAATCACTAACCACCCAGGATCTCTGAGCAAACTTCGTGATTCGAAATGAACAATAGCTTTTAATACCTACTAAGCAATGTCCCCAAAACATGTCATAATGTTATATATACATGTTATGAAACATATTACAAACTTCGGCATTTGATGTGATAATAAATAATTTCTCATTGTTAATTTCAATATGGTTTTGTTATTCCTTAGTTCTTGTGTTCAAATATAACGCATTGAAAAAGTGGGAGAACTCTGAAATAACCTATATTGTCTGGGAAACATTTTAGTGGAGTTATTTTGGCACACGAATCAGCAAAATCGCACTGCATTAAACAAGTTTGAAATCAAACAAGGAGTTCGTATCTTGTGTGAAGATGAAAGTGATGAGCGTTCGATGCAGTTCAAGGATCCGTCTCCACCAGATTTCGAGGGGAGGGGGAGGATTAGAAGCGAGACGACGAAGCTGTCAGCTAGCAGTGACAGTGCCAGGCACCGCCATTGCCGGGGAGCAGGGCCGGCAATGTTGGCCGGTGCCGCCGTGACAGCGTTCCGAGTGAAGACCTCGGGTAAGGTTTTCTCCGGTTTTCGGACGACGTCCTTTCTTCGGAGTCGGAGCGCCCTCTTCCGGCGTTTAGGAACGGATGACTATCACAGTGTGAGGATGGATGGGATGACGATTCACCAAAGGAAGGCGCAGAATAAACCGGCTGCTGCCAACAAGCCATACCTTAATCGTCGTCTGTCAGCTCCGGATTCTTGAAATTCTATGGAGAAAAAAAAAAAAAAAAAAAAAAAAAAAAATAAATGAGACTAAATGCTAGTTGTTATTCATTTTATGTAATTAAATTTTTTTATTCTTTAATAAAGCATGGCTTTTCGGAATTAATTAGAGGGCAGCCATTTCAGGTAACCCACTTAAATTATTATCAAATAGATGGTGGTATTGATGCATTTAATTACTGTGACGCACTCGAGGATTATGTGTTATGTTAATATTTTTTTTTTTTTTTCTTAAATGTGTAACCAGTATGTTATGTAACGTATACCTTGCAAACCTAAAATCTGTAATACAATATAAATAACCAATGTATATCTCATCTGCCCCTGTATGGCAATGTAATAAATCTTTTAAGATCTCAATAAACCCCCGGTAGATATGGGAGGGCGCGGGACATATGCCTGTTTACCTCTGTTAAACACCAGGCGTCCCCGTCCTCCGGCACCTGTCACCTGCCTAAGGAGAGATATGCCTTTGTTTAGGACTTTCTAAGAAAAACTGGCTCGTATACATATTACACGCGGGAAAAACCACGAAAACGCCCGAGCAGCCAGCCTGTTCGCCGGCATTCGAATCCGGAACGAACTACCACTGTTCAGCGATTTTACCGCTCGGCCGCTGGCGGGCTATCAAATAGATGAAAATAAATAACTATATTAATGTTAAGAAAAAATATGCGTATTACAATACACTAAAAGTTTACTATGACGCAGTTTATTTACTTAGTTTACATAATGCAGTACATTTCTATGTGCAAATTTGTTTCATTTCAAACGATGAGCTATCTTTTAGTTTCTAACTTTTTTTTTTTTCTTTTTTAAAATCTTAGCAGCGCTAACACGTAACTATCCCGTTAGTTAGTTGATTCCTCGTAAGTATAAAGGTCATTTTAGAATTAAAGATTTTAGTTAAGTGTTTTTCCATGTCAGTTGTTTTCATTTGTAAAATTTGCTAAAAAATAATCTTTAAATGTTTCAGAAAGATTATAAAAACAAAACACATTTCAATCTAGAATGTGTTATAGTTGGAAAAAAATTGGTAAGATTACAAGAAATGTTAAACTGTAGTATATTTATTAACTTGCTATTCACTGCGTTTTAAGATTTCATATATTTTGAATCCATTGGTTCAGTTCTACTTTTATACACATTTTTTCACATTAGGAGTATTTTACTAGAACTTAATATGATCTAAATAAGAAATTATTTCATTATATTAACTTTCAATTATTGTCACATTCATAAAAATGGGGAATAATTTGTCAGTAATAATAATAATAATAACTTTGCTTTTTACAGAACGGGAACATAGTATTTACGTACGCTAGACAAAGGAAAAGGGGTTAATTTATGATAAAAAGTATATTTTCGCTTAAACTGGAAAAAAAAGTTACACTAATAAATTCGGAAACTGATTCATATTACTCTATTTCAGAATTATTAGTAGCATAAATAAATTAACAGTAAGCATTTCAAAAACAAGCTTGCAAAAGCATTATCTGAGAAATATGACGAAATAAGAATAAAAAAAAAAAAAAAAGAAATTTAAAAAGAAGTAAAATGTCTGAAAGCTTTTATAACGCCCAAAGGGGCATTTTCTCAACGTCTTGGGTGCTGCTTCTTCATTATTTAATTTCTTCAAATATAATGCAGTGCTCTAACATTCGATGGCAACAATTTGAAAAGTGAAACACCTTTTATAGTGGACGACTTAAAATGCCAAATCGAAATTAATGGCCCTTCTGGGTAAATTGCCCCATTAGGCTCATAATGAATAAAAACGAAATAAAATATAAATAAAATGAAAGAAAATTAAATCTTAGAGGCTCTTTCCCATAAACGAGAGTTGTTTTTTGCTCCACAACTGAGTTGTTATTAAAGACATTTTCAATTAAGATTTGTCCATGATCCCTAAAAAAAGCTTTTTTCTTTTTAAATATTTCAAACAAAATAATTTTTTCTTTTCATTCACGCTTGTTGATGATATCAACTTCTTAGCCGTAAAAGACGTACACTGGACCTTCATTCGCAGAGCATTTATAAAATTATATTCTTATTTTATATAACGTCCTCTCTTCGTTTTCTTTTATCTCTTTTCTTCTCTCTCTTCTTTTCTTACTCTCTCTCTCTTTTTCTACTTCTCTTCTTTCTTCGTCTCTTCTTTCTCTTCTCCTTCTTCTTTTTTTTCTCTCTCTCTCCTCTTTCTTTCTCTCTCTTTCTTTCTTCTCTCTCTTTCTCTCTTTCCTACTTCTTCTTTCCTCTTCTCTCCTCTCTCTTCTCTCTTATTTCTTCTTCTTCTCTTCTCCCTTCTCTTTTTCTCTCTCTCCTCTCTCTCTATTCTTCTTTTCTCTTTTCTCTCTCATCTCTCGCTCTCTTTTCTCTTCTCTCTTCTTCTTCCTTTCTTCTCTTTCTTCTCTCCTCTCTATCTCTTTCTCTTACCTTTTCTCTCTCTCTTTTCTATTCCTTCTCTCTCCTCTCCTTTCTCTTCCTCTTCTCTCCTTCTATCTTCTTTCTTTCTCTCTCTTCCTTCTCTCTCTCTCCCTCCCTAGCTTCTTCTCTCTTTTCTCTCTTTCTTCTTTTCTCTCTCTCTTCTTCTCTCTCTTCTTCTCTCTCCTTCCTCTCTCTTCTCTTCTCTCTCTTCTTCTTCTTTTCTTATCTCTTCTCTCTCTCATTCTCTCTTTCTTTCTTCTTTTCTCCTTTCTTCTTTTCTCTTCTCTTCTTCTCTCTTTCTTCTTTCTCTCTCTCTTCTCTCTCTCTCTTCTCTTCTCTTTCTCTACTCCTTCTTCTCTCTACTTTTCCTCTTCTCTTCTCTTTCCTCTTCTCTGTCCTTCTCTTTCTTCTCTTCGCTCTCTTTCTCGCTTTTCCTCTCTCTTCTTCTCTCTCTCCTTCTTTTCTCTCCTCCTCTCCTTATCTTACTCTCTCTTCTTCTCCTTTTTTCTGCTTCTCTCTCTCTCTTCCTCTTCTCTTTTCCCTCTTGCTTCTTGCTTTTCTTTCATTCTCTTTTTTCTCTCTCTCTTTTCTTTATCTTCCTTCCTTCTCTCTTCTCATCTCTTCTCTCCTTCTCTCTCTCTGCTTTCTTTCTCCTCCTCTCCTTTCTCTCTCTTCTCTCTTCTCCTCGTCTTTCTTCTCTTCGTCTCTTTCTCTTTCTTCTCTCTCTCTCTTCTCTCTTCTCTTCTCTTTCTTCTCTCCTCTCTTTTCTCTCCTCCTTCTCTCTCTCTCTCCTGCTCTTTCTCTTTTCTCTTCTCTCTCTTCTCTCTCTCTCTCTTTTCTGCCATCTCTTTCTCTCTCTCCTTCTTCTTCTTCTTCTTTTCTTTTCTTCTTCTCTTCTCTCTCTTTCCTATCTTCTCTCTCTCTCTCTTCTCTCTTCTCTCTTCTTCTTTTCTTTTTCTTCACTCTTCTTCTCTCTTCGCCTCTTCTTTCTCTTCTTCTCTCTCTTCTCTTCTCTCTTTTCTCTCTCTCTACTTCTTCTCTCTTCTTTTTTCTTCTCTTCTTTCTGTCTTTCTCTCTTTCTCTTCTCTTCTTTCCTTTTTCTCTTCTCTCTTTCTCTCTCTCTTCCTCTTTCTCTCTTCTCTCTCTTTCTCTCTTCTCTCTCTCTTCCTTCTCTCTCTCTTCTTCTTTCTCTCTTACTTCCTCTTTTTCTCTCTTGTCTCTTACTCTCTTTCTTCCTTTTACTCTTCTCTCTCTTCTCATCTCCTGCTTCTCTCTTCTTCCTTCTTTCTTCTTTTATCTTCTCTCCTCTCTCCTCTTTCTCTTCTTCTTTTCTTTCTTCTTCTTCTTTCTTTTCTCTTCTTCTCTGCCTCCTCTCTTCTTTATCTTCTATTTTCTCTCTCCTATCTCTGCTCTCTCCTTCCTTCTCTTCTCTCTTCTTCTTTCTCTTCTCCTCTCTCTCTTCTCTCTTCTTTCTCTCCTTTCTCCTTTTCTCTCTCTCTGCTTTCTCTTCTTCTGTATTCCTTCCTTCTTCTTCTTTTTTTCTCTTTCTCTTTCTCTCTCTCTCTCTTTTTTCTCTACTCTTCTCTCTATCTCTCTCTTCTCTCTTTCTCTCTTTATCTCGCTCTTCTTTCTCTTTCCTTTTCTTCTCTCTTTTCGCTTCTCTCTCTCTCTCCTTCCTCTCTCTTCTTCTTCTCTCTTCTCTATTCTCTCTCTCTCTCTCTCCTTCCTCATCTCTCTTCTCTTCTCTTCTCTCTTCTATCCTTTTTTTTCTCTCTTTCTCTTTTTTCTCTCCTCTTCTTCTTTCTTCTTCTCTCTTTCCTTCTTTCTCTTCCTTCTCTTTAGTTCTCTCTCTCTCTCTCTTCTCTTCTCTCCTTTCTCCTCTTTCTCTCTCTTCTCTCTTCTCTCTCCTCTCTGTCTCTCTTCTTCTCTCTTTTTTCTCTCTCTCTCTCTCTCTATTTCTCTCTCTCTCTCTCTTTCTCTCTTCTCTTCTTCCTCTCTCTTTCTTTTCTTTTCTCTTCTTCTTCTCTTCCCTTTGTCTTTCATTCTTTTCTCTCTCTCTTGCTCTTCTTCATCTTCTCTTCTTTCGCCTTTTCTCTCTCTCTCTCTTCTCCTCCTCTCTTCTTCTCTTTCTTTTCTCTCTCCTCATCTCTCTCTTATCTCTTCTCTTTCTTTCGTCTCTCTTCTTCCTTCTATTTTCATCTCCTCTCTTCTCTTCTCTTCTTCCTTTTCTTTTCTTCTCTCTCTTGTCTTCTCTCTTCTTCTTTCTCTCTTTCTTCTCTCTCTTCTCTTCTCTCTTCTCTTCTTCTCTTCGCTCTTCTTCTCTCTTCTTCTTCTTTTCTTCTCTCTTTTCTCTTTTCTTCTCTTTCTTTCTCTCCCAGCCTCTTCCCCCTCTCTCTCTCTCCTCCTTTCTCTCTCCTCTTCCTCCTTCTCTCTTTCTCTCGTTCTTTTCTCTTTCTTCATTTTCTCTCTTCTCTCTCTCTATCTCTCTCCTTTTACTTTTTTTCTCGCTCTCTTTCTCTCTTCTCCTCTCTCTCTCTGTCTCTCTCCTCTCTCCTCTTCTTTCGTCTTCTCTCTCTATTTCTCTATCTTCTTCTTCTCTCTTTCTCTCCTCTTCTTTTTTCTTTTCTTCTTTCTTCTCTCTCATCTTCTCTTTCTCTTTCCCTTCTCTCTTCTCTCTCTCTTTCTCTCTTTCTCTTCTCTCCTTCTTTCTCTCTCTCTCTTCTTCTCTTTTCTCTTTCTTCTCTCTCATTCTCTTCTCTTTCTCTCTTTCTCTCTCCTTCTCATTTCTTCTTTTTTTTCTCTTCTTCTCTCTCTCTTCTCTTCTCTCTTCTTCTCTCTATCTTCTTTTATCTTTTCTTGTCTCTCTTTCTCTCATTTTCTTCTTTCTCTGGTTCCTTTCTCTCTCTCTTCCTTCTTCTTTTCCTTCTACTCTTCTCTCTCTCTCTCCTCTCTCTCTTCTCTTTCTCTTTCTTCTTCTTTCTTTTCTCTTTCTCTCTTTCTCTCTTCTTCTCTCTTCTCTCTTCTTCTCTCTCTCCTCTCTTCTCTCATCTTGTCTTTTTCTCTTCTCTTCTCTTCTCATCTTCTCTCTTCCTTCTCTTCTATCTCGCTCTTTCTCTCTCTTCTCTTCTTCCCCTTCTTCTCCTCTCGCCTTTCTCTCTTTCTCTCTCTTCTTTCTTCTCTCTCTCTCTTTTCCTTTTCTTCTCTTCTTTCTTCTCTCTCTCTTTCTCTCTTCTCCTTTTTGCTCTCTTCTCTTTCTTCTCTTTCTCTCTTTCTCTCTTTTCTTGTTCTGGCGTTTTCTCTCTCTCTCTCTTCTTCTCTTCTTCTTTTTCTCTCCTTCTCCTCTTCTTTCCCTCTTTCCTCTCTTCTCCTCTTTCTCTTCTTACTCTCTCTTTTTCGTCTCTCTTCCTTCTCTTCTTCTCTCTCTCTTCTCTCTTCTCTCATTACGTCTTTCTCTCTCTCTCTCTTCTTTCTTTCTCTCTTTCTGCTTACTCTCCCTCTCCTCTCTCTCCTCTCTTCCTCTTCTCTCTTCTTTTCTCTTTTCTTCTCGTTCTGCTCTTCTTACTCTTGTTCTTCTCTCTCGCTTTCTTCTTCCTCTCTCTCTCATTTTTCTTCCTCTCTCTCTCTCTCTCTCTCTCTCTCATTCTCTCTCTCTCTCTCTTCTTCCTCTTCTCTTCTTCTCTACTTCTCTCTCTTCCTCTCTTTCTTCTTCTCTCTTCCTCTCTTCCTCTCGTCTCTCTTCTCTCTCTCTCTTTCTTCTCTTCTTCCTTTATTTTTCTTCTCTCTCTTCTCTCTCTTCTCTTCTCTCTCTTTCTTCTTTCTTCTCTCTTCCTCTCTCTCTCTTTCGCTTTTTTTCATCTCTTCTTTCTTCTCTCTCTTTTTTTTTCTCTTCTCTCTCTTTTTCTCTTGCTTCGTCTTTCTCTCTTTCTTTTCTTCTTTCCTTCTCTCTCTCTCTCTTCTCTCTCTCTTTCTTCTTCTCTCTTTCTCCTCTCTTCTCTTCTCTCTCTTCTCTCTTCTCTCTCCGCTCTCTTTCTCTTCTCTTCTCTCTCTCTCTCTCTCTCTTTCTTCTCTTCTCTTCTCTCTTCTTTCCTTCTTCTCTCTTCTTCTCTTTTCTCTTCATTCTCTTCTTTTCTCTCTCTCTTCTCTCTCTTTATCTCTTCGCTCTCTCTTTTCTCTCATCCTCCTCCTCTCTTCTCTCTTTCTCTTTTCTTTTTCCTCTCTTCTCTTCTTTCCTCCTCTCTTTTCTTCTCTCTCTCTTCTCTTCTCTTTTCTCTCTCTTCTCTACTCTTTTCTCTCTTTTTCCTCCTCTTTTCATTCTGCTCTCTTCCTCTTCTTCTTTCTCTGCTTCTCTTCTTTTCTCTTCTCTCTCGTCTTTTCTTCTCTCTTCTTCTCCTCTCTCTCTCTCTTCTTCTTCTTCTCTTCCTCTCTTCTTTTCTTCTTCTTTCTCTCTCTTTCTTTCTTTCTTCTTTATTTCTTTTCTCTCTCTTCCTCTTTTCTTCTTCTCTCTCTCCTCTTTCTTTTCTTCTCTCTCTGCTTCTCTTTATTCTTCTCTCTCTCTCTCTCATTTCTTCTCTTCTTCTCCTTCTTCTTCTGCTCTTTCTCTCTCCTCTCTCTCTCTCTTCCTCCTCTCTCTTCTTCTCCTCTTACTCTCTCCTCTCTCTCCTCTCTTTTCTCCTCTCCTTCTTCTTCTCTCCTTCTCTCTCTCTCTTTTTTCTTCTCCTCTATTCTCTTCTTCCTTTCTCTCTCCCTCTTCTTTCTCTCTTTCCTTCTTCTCTTTTCTTTCTTCTTCTCTCTCTCTCTACTTCTCCTCTTTCTTTCGCTCTCTTCTTTTTCCTTTCTTTTTCCTCCTTCTTCTTCTCTTCTCGTTTCTCTCTTTCTCTTCTTTCCTCTCTCCTCTCTCTCTCATTCTACTCTTCTCTTCTCTCTTCTTCTATCTTTTCTCTCTCTCTCTTCTTCTTTCTTCTCTCTTTTTCTCTCTCTTTTCTCTTTTTCTCTCTCTCTCTCTCTCTTTCCTCTCCTCTCTTCTCTCATCTTTCTCTCTCTTTCTCTCTCTCTCTTCCTCTTCTTCTTCTCTTCTTTCTTCTCTTTTGTTCTCTTCCTTTTTTTCTCTTTTTTTCGCTCTTTTTCTTCTTTTTTTCTTTCCCTGTTTCTCTTTTTTTCATTCTTTCTCTTCTTTTTTTCTCTTTTTTCTTTTTTCACTCTTTCCTTCTTTTCTTCTCTCTCTCTCCCCTCTTCGTTTTCTTCCTATCTCTCTCTTCTCTTCTTCTTCTCTTCTCTTCTCTCTTTTTCTCTACTCTCTCCTCTTTTCTTCTCTCCTCTTCTCTCTCTTCTCTCTCTCTTCTTCTCTCTCTCTTCTCTCTTCCTCTTCTCTCTCTCTTCTCTCTTCTCTCTTCTCTCTCTCTTCTTCTTTTCTCTCTTCTCTCTCTTCTCTCTCTTCTTTCTCTCTCTCTCCTCTCTTTCTTCTCTTCTCTCTCTCTCTCTCTCTTTTCTTTCTCTCCTCTCCCTTCTCTCTTTTCCTCTATTCTCATCCCTTCTCTTCTTTCCTCTCTCTTTTTTCTCTCTTTTCTCTTCTTCTTTCTCTTCTCTTCTCTCTCTGTCTTCTCTTCTTCTCTCTTCCTCATCTTTCTCTCGTTCTCTTTTTCGTTCCTCTTCTTTCTCTCTCTTCTTTCTTCTTCTTCTCTCCTTCTCTTTCCTCTCTCTCTTCTTCTCTCTCTCTGCCTCTTCTTCTTTTTCTCTTTCTCTCTTCTTTCCTTTTCTTCTTCATTCTCTCGTCTCTTCTTCTCTTCTCCGTTCCTTTTCTTCCTTCTTCCTTCTTTCTTCTCTTCTCTTCTCTCTTCTCATCTTCTCTCTTTTTCCTTTCTCTCTTTCTCTTCTCTTCGCTCCTTTTCTTTTCTCTCTCTTTTCGCTCTTTCTTCTCTGCTCTCTTTTTCTCTCTCGTCTCCCTCCTTTTTCTTCTCTCTCTCTCTTCTCTTCTTCTCTTTTCTCGCTTCTCTCTTCTTAGCTTCTCTCTCTTCTCTTCTTCTCCTCCTCTTTCTCTTTCTCTCTCTCTCTCTTTTCTTCTCTCTCTCTTTCTCTCATCGCTTCTTTCTCGCTCTTTTCTTTCTCTCCTTTTTTCTCCTTCTCTTTCTTTTCTTCTTCTTTTCTTCTCTTCTCTCTTCTCTCTCCTCTCCTCTACTTCCTTCCTTTCTTTTCTTCTCTTCTTTTTCTTTCATTCTTCTATTTCTCCTTTCTCTCTCTCTCTCTCTCTCTCTCCTCTTTTTAGCTCTCTTTCTCTTCTCTCCTCTCTCCTTCTCTTCTCCTCTCTCTCTCTCCTTTTTCTCTTTTTCTTCGTTCTTTTCCATCTTCTTTCTCTCTCTTTCTTCTCTCTCCTTCTCTATCTATCTTCTCTTTTCTTCTTTTCTCTCTCTTCCTCCTCTTTTTCCTTCTTCCTCTCTCTCTCTTTCTTTCTCTTCCTCTCTCTTCTCAAAGTAAAAAGTAGCATGAAAAGGCGTTCTCTTCTTCTCTCTCTCTCTCTCTTTTTCATCTTTCTTTCTTCTCTTCTCTCTTCTCTCTCTTTCTCTCTCTCACTCTCTATCTTTTTCTTTTCTACTCTCTCTCTTTCTCTCTTCCTTTTTTTTCTTCTCTTCTCTCTCTCTCTCTCTCTCTCTCCTCATTATTCTTTCTCTCTCTACTCCTTCTCTTATCTTCCCTCTCTTCTCTCCTTCTTTCTCTCTTTCCTTTCTCTTCTTTTTTTTCTTCTCTCCTTCTTGTTTCTTCTCTTCTCTACTCTTTTCTTTTCTCTCTCTTTCTCTCTCTCTCTCTTCTTCTTTTCTCCTTCTCTCTCTTCCTTCCTTCTCTTCCTTTCCTTCTCTTCTCTCTCTTTCTTTCTTCTTCTTCTCTCTTCTCTCTCCTCTTCTTCTTCTCTTCTCCTCTTCTCTGCCTCTTGCTTCTTCTTTCTTTCTTTTTCTCTTCTCTTCTTCTTTCTCTTATCTTTCTCGATCTTCTCTCTTCGCTCTCTCTTCCTCTCATGTCTTCCCTCTTCTCTCATTCTTCTTTCTCTCTCTTACTCTTCTTCTCTCTTCTCTCTCGCTTCTTTCTCTTTTCTTGGTCTCTTTTTTTTCTCTTTTCTCTTCTCTCTTCTCTCTCCTCTTTCTCTTTCTCTTCTCTTCTCTTTTCTCTCTACTCTCTTTTTTTCTCTCTCTCTCTCTTCTCTTGGCTCTCCACTCTCTTCGCTCGTTCTTTTCTCTTCTCTCCTCTCTTTGTTCTCTCTTCTTCTTTTTCACATTCTCTCCTCTCCGTCTCTTTCTCTTCTTTTCTCTTCGCTCGTCTGCTCTCTTTCTCTTCTTTCTCTTTCTCTTTTCTTTTTCTTTCTTTCTTTCTCTCTCTTTTCTCTCTCTCTCTCTCTCTCCCTCTTTCTTCTCTCTTTCTTCTCGCTCTCTCTCTCTCTCTTCCTTCTCTCTTCTTTCTCTTCTTCTCTCTCCTCTTTCTTTCTCTCTCTTTCTTCTCTCTTCTCTTGCTCCTCTTCTCTCTTCTTTTTCTTCTTCTCTTCTCTTCTCTCTTCTTCTCCTTCTCTTTCTTCTCTCTCTTTTCTTCTTCTCTTCTTCTCTTCTCTTCTCTCCCTCTCTTTTTCTCTCTCTTCTTTTCTCTTCTCTCCTTCTTCTCTTCTTTTCTCCTTTCCTCTTCTCTTCTCATCTCCTCTCTCTCTTCTCGCTCTCTCTTCTTCTTCTTCTTCTTCTCTCTTCTCTCTCGTCTTTCTGTTTCTCTCTTCTCTTTCTCTCTTCTCTCTCTCTTTCTCTCTCTCTCTTCTCTTCTTCTCTCTCTTCTCTCGTTCTCTTTTTTCTCTCTCTTCTTTCTCCTTTTTTCTCTCCTTTCTTCTCTCTCTCTTCTCTTCTCTTCTTCCTTCTCTTGTGTCTCTTTCTCTCTTTTCTTCTCTTTCTCCCTCTCTTCTCTCCTCTCTCCTCTTCTCTTCTCTTCTTCTCTAGTCTCTCTCTTTTTTCGCTCTCTTTCTCTCTCCTCTTCTCTCTTCTTTCTCTTTCTTCTCTTTTCCTCTTTTTCTTCTTTGTGTTCTCCTTCTCCTTTGGTGTTTCGCCTTGGTCTGTCCGTCTCTTATCTGCCCGTCTCCTTTTTCCCCCCCTTTCGCTTTCCTTTTACCCCCCCCCCGTCTCCCCGTCTCCCGCCCCTTTCCCGCCCCCCAGCCCCCCCGTCCCCCTCCCTTTTTCCCCCCCTTTCCACCCCTGTGCCCCCCTCTCCTGCTTTACCTTCTCCCCCTCCTCTCCCCTCTCCTTCCTTCCTCCGCCTCAGCCCCTCCCGGCCCCCCCCATCCTTCCCCTCCTTTCAGCTTCCGGCTTTTTCCTCTTTGTCCGCTTCGGTCTTCCTTAGGCTTTTTCCTTTTTTCCTTTCATTTTTTCTCGTTTCCTTTTTCATCTCCCGCTTTCCTAGAATTTATATATTTTTAATATTAATGTTGTAAAAAAAATTAATATAACAAAGATAGCAGCTTGACATCAACTTTACCTACATAAGCGCCATCTATAAATTTGAAAGAACACACTTACTTCTCTATAAAAACACTTTTACAGACCCCAACACTCATATAGTAGGTAAATTAGAATTAAAACTTACTATTTACTTGCTTTAAGTATTTTTTAAATTGTTTTGTAGTATTTAAGTATTTTCTAAATATGAAATTATATTTTTTAAGTTACATATTTGTTTTTTAAAAATTATGAATTAGTTCTTTTTTTCTTATTTTTTTATATGGTTATATCTAGTTCTTTTTAGTTTCTTTTATTGATATGCATATTCGTGTCGGGAGGTTTCTGTAGACAAGGGTTTCTAAAATACTTGGTTTCTAGATTATTTTTTATTTTTTATAAAAAGTAATTTTTTAAAAATTTATTTTTTTAAAAAAAACGTTTAATTTAATACTTGACTTTACTGCTTGTTTCTCAAAAGACTTCATAGTATTTTCCTTTAGAACTTTAATTCTTAAATGCTAATTTCTAAGGGTACCACTTTATGGATTTCTTTTTGGACATTCTTCACTTTTTTACTTTTGGTTTGACTTTACCCTTGCCTGCATGAATGACGAAACACGAATTGAATGATTGGAGAGTTAGGTTGGAGGCAACTTAACTTTGACAAGTCTGTTCTCCTGCCTACTCAACTGTCATTCACTTATGCATTTTTAAAAAAATTGTTGGATTTAATTTTAATTTGCTAAATTAGTGAATTTATTTCATGGATTGGTTTTGCACTGATTGCTTATGCTCTGAATTTAAATGATATTGTAGATTAGTTCGAGAATTAAATCTTTTATATGTTTGCACAATTTTTAAAAAAAAAATTTAAAAAATTATTTTGGCTTTTTTTCTTTATTTTCGCTTTAAATTTGCTTTTTTACTTTTATACGTGTTTGTTAAAATTTAAATTTAAATTTTTTAAATTTAAATTTCATCCTTGCAGCAATGGCGCAAAGAATATTTAATTAAATTTGTATTTAAAATAAATTTATTTAATTAAATTCAATTTATTCTTATGAAATTATATGTATGTATTAGGAACGTCGGAAATTTTTATACATAACAATCTCGTTAATGAACTAACTTTTACGCCGTTCCTGCTGCAGGTGTGGAAAAACTCTATTCCGACAGCCACTTTCCTTCTTTCAACCAAACACTGCAGCTATCGTTTGAGGAATGTTTACTTACTTAATGTTTTACTTTACAATTTACAAAAATCACTGTCAAATGTGACGCTTTGATGAAGCTGGACAGATTTCCAAAGAAATGTATAATTTTTATTTCCTTGTATGAAATGAAAGAAGTATTGTAATCGCGAAAGGTTTCATGTATGATATTTTAACAAAAATATCCATTTTGACAGAGCTTTCGAATCCATCTGAACGATGCTTTTGCGTTACATGTGTGCGTATTACAGAATAAAGGACGCTTTTTCCCGAAAGAAATTGCAAAATGGATTTAAAATGGATTCAGGAGAAATATTTTTCATGACGTCTGTACGTACGTATGTGCTTCACTAACTCAAAAACGAATAGCCGTAGAACATTGAAATGGGACGGCTATAACATATAGTTGTGCACCTGACTTTTTCGTTTTACCCGGCTCGGTGAACTCAGTTTTTTATTCTTATATGCTGGTAAATTATGCATTTTTTTTGCTTTAAAAATGAATAAATTACTTTGTCGCTTTTTTAATTTCCATACGTATAATACTGTGCTTAAGATGGTGAACAATTTAAGAATTTACGTATACACATTCTTGATATAAAATGCCTAATAACCCTCAAATTACAATTCTAAATATACTCTGAACTTGTTTACATAAATCTTCTAATTAAATTTCATTTTTGCTTTTTCTGATTTTTAAAAAATTTTTTTTGAAACAGTGCACAAGATTCTGTTGTTTTCTTCGAGATTTTAAGTGAAATAATTCTTCTCTATAAACTCATTTCAATAATAAATGTAAAAAAAATCTAGATTCATAGTATCTGCATGAGGATAAGCTTTTTATGCGTTTAATTAATCTGTATGCAATAGTTGTAGAATTATAAAAAATCTAAAAGTGCCGCTAAGCCTAACCAGGCTGACATTTGTTTACATTTGAAACGCTTAAGAGAATAGTGAGTTTAGCTAGTTGGCGCACCAGCTTCAGTATCTTTTTGCCAAGTATGACCAAAGACAGCTTTCAATTTTGTGCACCGAAAATTTTGCCTTCTTGTCCTCTGGCCAAATTACTTATTTTGGCATACAAACTCTAATTTTAACTCTAAGAACTTAAAAAATCTGGTTTTGAAAATAACTTGAAATGAAATGCAGCAAAAAATGTGTATAATTTAATAGGAAGTCAAGTGATTTTACTTATGCGAGCTAATTTTTACGATAAACCTTTTCGTCTGTTACTTTTAAACTGCTTAATTTTCTTCAAGTAGGCTTTTTAATTATTCAAATAAATTATTCAGCCACTCATAGAATAAGAACAAAGAAATAAGCTACCAGAGAATTTCCTGTTATAAGTATTTACCTTCTAGTCAGCTAATTTCAATTATTTTAAAACCGATTATATTCATAACCAATATTAGTATATGTAAAGGCTACAGCTCATTTAATAACCAATTCTTGAGCAAATTTCTTTTGAGCAGCATCAAGAAAATTACGAGCAGATAAATTTTTTTTGAATTAATTGAAAGATTGTTCAAGCTCTTCATAAGATATTCCCTTTATTTTTTCTCTTAACGTAATTACTAACTGATTGGCTTAGAAACTTATTACCGTAGCTTGAGGTCATGTGGAACAAGAAAGAAAAATCAAAATTCGTGAAAGAGATACTTAATTTCCTATGAAACGAAAGTAAATTATGTAAAAGAAAACTTTCAAAATACGATCAAACATAGTTCCACGCACAACGAAAAAAAAAAAAAAAATACGAAGCCATGATGTTCATCATGTTATCTCTAGAGGTGTTTATTCGGAAGGTTCATCTTCCCGCAAACCGGAAAGAAACTGCAACCATTCTTGCTGCGGTTTTTTAGCTCTTTTTTCCTCTACTAGTCGGAATAAGACCGATCGAAGCAGTGGGATTGAGCAAACAAAAAGGTCGGAACAAAGCGGCCACAGCCAGTAATTATCAAATAATGTAATTACCGCTTTAATACGTTGAAAGGAAAGAAGTCTGCCACTAATTAAGACCTCCCGCAAAAAGAAGGCGCTCGCATCGCCTAACCACAAATCTCCCTTCCCTTCCCTTTGCTTCTCTTACATGTAAACGAGTGAAAAAAAGAAGAACCATTTACATTTCTCTCGGCACCATTTTTTATTCCCTTTTTCAGATTTTCTCTCAAAATTCAAGGGGAAAAAGGAGAAGCGAGAAGTGCTTTAAAAAATGTCCAAAGGTTTATTTTATTTTGTTTTATTTTTTGTAAGCCCTTTCAAGTTTAATTAGGAAGCCTTTGGTGCACGATTAACATGACTCGAGGCGCCGGGAGACACGGGAATAAAAACTTGAATTATTTGCTCTGAGTTTTTCATTTTTCATTTTTTTATTTTCTTTCTCTCTCTCTTTTTTTTTCTGACTACTGTGGTGCTTTCGAAAACGTTAATTTGTTGTTACATTTAATTACCATAAACTTAACTCCCTCGTTTAAAGAGCGTATTAAATAAAATAATTCGCTCTCGCTCGATCTATGGTGAAACTGTTTGTGAAGTTCCGAACAAAAAATTCTCAGCAAAATTCTTTCACGAATAATCCTTTCACTCGTAGTTTTATTGAAAAAATACTTTGGAAAATTTCTAGTGCATTTGTTTAACAAATAGCAATTATTTATCATATCAAGTGTGCCACTTTGTCGCTTTTTTAATTTCCATACGTATATACTGTGCTTAAGATGGTGAACAATTTAAGAATTTACGTATACACATTCTTGATATAAAATGCCTAATAACCCTCAAATTACAATTCTAAATATACCCTGAACTTGTTTACATAAATCTTCTAATTAAATTTCATTTTTGCTTTTTTTATTTTTTTTTAAAATTTTTTTGAAACAGTGCACAAGATTCTGTTGTTTTCTTCGAGATTTTAAGTGAAATAATCCTTCTCTAAAAACTCATTTCAATAATAAATGTAAAAACAATCTAGGTTCATAGTATCTGCATGAGGATATTTTTAAAATGACATTTTACTTAAAACATATTTATAAAAATCTTCCACCCTGTTGCTTTTTTTTTTTTTTTTTTTTTTTTTTTTTTTTGTCCAAATGTGCGTTAGCCCAGAAGGGCTATTAATCTCAAAACGGAATTTTGTGTCTTATTATTTTCAATGTCCGAATTACTTTTCAAGTTTTCCCTACCAAATATTATCGCTCTGTGCTATATTTAAAGCTCAAACAATTTATGCAGAAGCTTCATTATTTAATTTGTTTAAATATAATGCAGGGATATGTCTGGTGGCAACAGTTTAAAACGTGATTCTCCGTTTATAGTGAATCAACGCAAAAATCCAAAAATGAAATTATTAGCCCTTCTGAGCAAATTGCTCCTTTGGGCTAATAAATCGTA